AGAGAGTTATTCTTTAAAGAGAACAGCTTTTTGGAAAGGGCTGAAAGACTCCTCCCTTTGACATGATCTCAGCAGACCAGTGAAACTGATCACGTATTTGTATAATAGCAAAATTTTGTACAGTGGCCATTATGCTGTGTGAATTTTACTGTAAACACATTTTGGATGTGTTTATGTTACAATTTTTAGCAGCTGCTTCCCTACAGTAACTGTTTAGGAACACAAGATGCATCTTTGCACCCCATATAAGGAACAGAAGATCTTACCGAAAAACCCTTTAGTTTTCTTTGCATCTAGAAATTTCGCTGTTACTTTGAGCTAGATGTACTGTGGTCAAATTACAAAGTTTTCTTTTAAAATTTCGATTCCCTGTTTGCATTTAGGATTTAGGAATCAAATTGAGGCAAAAGGGGTCACAAGAAGTGTCAATGGGATTAAACAATAAACCGGTTTTATTAACACAGGTATTGCAGGGATTTCAGCTTCAATTTTTTGATTACAATAGTTTGAAAATGATTTTGGTTTCATTTTGCTTGTGCTAAAGTATACATAACATTGTTTTAGATGCATTTAATATGCTGCACAAGAAACAAACCCGTAACATATTTTTCTGAACTTCCTTTTATGCTATTGTTGACCAGAAACAGGATGGATTTTTGTCCTTTTAAAAATTGACTTCATTGCAACATTAAAGGATTTGAAGATGAATTATTGTAAATCTCTGGTTATACAAATAAAGTGTGTACGGTAAGCACTTTACAAACTGTGACATTTGTTGAAACAAACAGTGAACATGTAGACTTGGAACAATTTTAAACGATTAATGGAGACATGGGGAAAATAAAATCAAAAACTGGTACACATTTTGGAGCTGTACATGTAAACCAGAACTGATACTATATCCAGAAACTGCAGCAGGGGAAATGCCAGATGGCATTTTGTCTTAAATTTGGGGTAGAAATGTTTTAATACAGAATACTTCAATATATTGAAGTTTCTACCACAGTCATCATAATTGAGCATGAGGAATTAGAAGAGCAAATTTTAGGGAGGAAAGGTGTAAGAGGAATTTTTCACTTTACCAGAGTTCATGAATACCTTAACAAATGGTATCAAGTTGTTCAGTCCTGGATTGCATCACAACTGAGCCAATTCCTACAACTGGATGTCAAAAGTGGATTTGGAGTAGAAATTATAAATCCACATCAGTAATCCTGGAGTTCTGAGGCAAATTCGGCAGGTTCACTGTCGTTGCTGGAAAACCAGAGAATTGGATGAAACCCATGATTTATGCTTCATTGTTTACCGGATGGTTTCTTTGTCCATTTAACCATAAGGAGACTTTGTATTTCTCAGTAAATTATTATTGTGGATTCTTTTCACTTTCCTTTCTGTATCTCCTGCAATCTCACAAGGGCAAGAATCCGGTATTGAAACTGCCAACACTTGATCAATAAGTTTGCACGTAATTTAGAATTTTCAACACTGGAAACTCATTAAGTAATACTTAAAATAGGCAAGATTGTAAAGTCATTTCAAAGTGTGAGGGGGTAGAAAGTAACCTGAACATTTTCCCATGCATATCATAAATTAATGGATGAATTTCGAAGACCCTTGGTACACGGGTAATAGCCCAAAGAAGAAATTGAGTTTATGGTGAAGATTCGGGTCTTGGAAAATTCAGAGTGGCTACAAAACCACACAGTTGCAAGTGCATTTTCACAATAAGCAGAAACTGCGCTGCCTGGCAAGAAACAGTGATCAGTAGTCTTGAAAGCAACTCGTGATTCTCCTCCATTTTTGTTAGTAGCATTCTCGAAAGATAATGCCTCTACTGTGAAGGGTTATATCTCTTGCAATGAATGAGTACTCCCAGCCCTCCCTTCAACAAACTGTGAAACTTAATTCAGCAAAAACCTTAGCAATCATCTCCCTGAGTGGATCGCTAGTCATTTAGCTAAATTCACATTTCTTAGAGATTATTTTAAAAAGTAAGAAAATCATTTTGAACAATGACCTGTAAACCAAGTAAGATGTTCAGAGAAGTGAAAACTAAAATTAATTTTTCCTCCTTCAGAACACCAGTTTCCAAATAATATGAGCCTTCATCACAGTAAGTATACATTAGGTAGTATGCAAAGCTATTTACACAGAAATAAGAACAATAAAAGTTAAATATGTAAGAATCTGTATAATGTATTGGAGGCTTGATAATCCTTCTGGATCTGGCAATGGTACCAACTGGAGTCCTAACCATCACATTTGGTTATTCTTGACTTGCGTGTGTGTTGGTAGCTTGTGTGTTGTTTGTGTTAGTTATTGTCATAATGGTCTTCCACACCTTTATTATCCAAGCAAATTTTGCGTGCTGTGCACAATCAAGTACTCACTGTTTAGCCAATGCAGTTTTTTGTTATTTGCTTTCTTGGGGTCCCAGTGTAAGTGTAAATTCTGCACTACTTCAATTCTTGTCTGAGGCTTTCTCCTCTGGTTTCCAAACCCACATTCATTGTCATCATCCTGATTCTTGGTTCATTAGCGTATGCAGCTCTTCAAGGCAATAATATACATTTAATCTGGTGCAGAATGAAAATGTTGTAAACAATGGGCCCTTCAAAACTGAACTGGGATATGCTCGAGATAAGGGAGCAACTAAATGTTCATTGGAGCATATATCCAAAAGTTGGCTCTCCTCAGCAAGAGGAGTTGGTCAGGACTGGAGAGAGCAAACTGGAGTTTGTATTGAACTATGAAATGCAAATAAATAGTTTGTTATCCATTTACGGAAGCTGGTATCGATCTAACAATATAACACAATTGCGAGTGGAATTCTGCTAGCTTCCTCTCTGAAAATGGAAAGCCTCTGAGGCCTTTGCCAGAGGTCAGTGGGTGTTGGCTACATCATTCTGAAACCTAGAAAGATTCAGCACTGGTTGAGGCCTGTTTTGTGTACTGCAGCCTATTCAATACATCAACTTGGGCATTATTGATAATGGTCCAAAAACAAAGTTGCTGGAAAAGTTCAGCAGGTCTGGCAGCATCTGTGAAGGAGAAAACAGTTAACGTTTCGGGTCCGGTGACCCTTCCTAAGAAGGGTCTGAGGACTAATGAACCAAGAATCAGGATGATGACAGTGAATGTGGGTTTGGAAACCAGAGGACAAAGCCTCAGACAAGAATTGAAGTTGTGCAGAACTTACACTTACACTGGGACCCCAAGAAAGTAAATAACAAAAACTGCATTGGCCAAACAGTGAGTACTTGATTGTGCACAGCACAGTTCTGAGGAAGGGTCACCGGACCCGAAACGTTAACTCTGTTTTCTACTTCACAGATGCTGCCAGACCTGCTCAGCTTTTCCGGCAACTTTGTTTTTGTTCCTGATTTACAGCATCCGCAGTTCTTTTGGTTTTTATTGATAATGGTCCAGTTGCAGAGATTTTATAATCATTATGGAATCCAGGTATTTCAGATTAGCTGTAACCCTAGTTCTGAGCATTGACTACACTTCAGTTACTAGGCTTACAACTTGCTTCACACTGATCCAATATTAAGTGATGACACTGCCTTAAGTGTTTGGACTCCTAAATTGTTGTTTGAAAATAAGCAGAAAGGTTAAAGACCAAATGCTGGTTGTGTCTACGATTAGTTTATTTTCTCTGATTGCATGTAAGATAATCCGGGAGCAAAAGTAGGTCATTCAGCCCTTGGTGCCTGATCTGCCATTCAATTCATGGCTGATCTAATGGAAACCTCAAATCTCTGATAACCTTTGAGACTTGAGATTTTTAAAAATGCCAGCTGAAGACTGAGCAACGGCAAACGTTAGAGTTTTATCTTGACATCAACTTCTTCAACCTGTTTATTGTGTTGTGGTATACCTCTGGAGCAGGTGTGACTTGAATCTGGGCCTCCTGTTGCAAGAGATCAGTGTACTACCACTGTACCACCAGAGCCCCTTGTGAACTCCTATACTTTCATTGCAATAATATTTTTATCTTAATTGAAATGGGGGAGCCTCCAGAACCCAATCACCAAGCAGAATGAATTTTCAACCAAATGTTATAAAATATTTTAATGCCAATAATGACATCTTATTGTTGATTTACAAATTGCCTAATTTCATACTTAGAGATTGTGTTTTATTAAAAGGTTGAAGTGACTTAGTTCAGTGCTTACTGGCTTATTAAATGAGATTTATATTTCCACAGGTGAGTTTGTGAACTGCTGTAATCAGGTTTATATGAATTGTCAAGTGAAACACTTGCATCATGCAACTGGATTTTTGCATGTAACACTATGAAATCTATGTTTCTTTGAAAATCCTTGTCTTGAAAGATATAAGCAGTTCAGAGAGCTTCCTATTCACTGATTTCTTATTTCCTATGCAAGGTCAAATATTTAAGTAGGGTAAAAAGTGTATGGTACAAGAAATCAATTGATATTAAAATCATTCAAAGCAAAACTTATGCAAGTCTGTCACTTACTTTTCCATCCCATATACTGTATAGATTATATTAGAAATTCTGTACCTTATTCCTCATTAAACTGTGAAGCAATTGATATTTAATGAATTCAATCTGTGCTTAATGTCTGGACATCCAAAATGAAGTGGATAGCACGCAGAAGTTGTTTTAATCCATCTTTTAATCGTTCATGGTAACTATCCACTAAGAGCAACTTACGGGGGAAAAAAATCAAAATTGATCCAAACTCCACTAATGGGAGTGATTGTGAAACTTTTTTTTAAAATTCATTAAGGGGATTAGGGCATCGCTGGCTAGGCAGCATTTGTTGCCCATCCCTAATTGCCCGGAGGGCAGTTAAGAGTCAACCACATTGCTGCGGGTCTGGAGTCACATGTAGTCCAGACCAGGTAAGGATGGCAGTTTCCTTCCTTAAAGGACATTAGTGAACCAGATGGGTTTTTCCTGACAATCGACAATGGATTCACAGTCATCATTAGATTCTTAATTCCAGATACTTATTGAATTCAGATTCCACCGTCTGCTGTGGTGGGATTCGAACCCACGTCCCCAGAATGTTATCCGGGTCTCTGGATTAACAGTCCAGCGATAATGCCACTAGGCCATCACCTTCCCTTTCTGCTTTAACAAAAGCCCAAATTGTAATACAGAGGCTTCATACCCTCTATTTTAAGGAAATATGATCAGAGCTTAAGCACAAGTCTTTGAGACTAAGAACAGGAAAATGTGGATCACTCATACATGGGAAAGGGTCAACAAAAGCGGTGAACCGTAACAAACTGTACACATGTGGCTATAAATACCCTGGATGAAGTTCAAGGAGACCCTTTGTTTCAGCTTTTTACCAACCCCCTCTGCTGAACCTGTTAATTTAGTCCTCTCTCCCAAAAGTCAATATAACTGATCGACCAGATAGGAACGAGAGAAGCAAGTTCATTAATATTTAATCTTCCATTTGTAGTTAATAGCTTTATCAGAGTTGTGCTAAGTCACAACAGCTCAACCTTGCAAAATACCATCACGTGGCATTGCAGTGGATTGCAGACACTTCACGTGACCTAGATAAAGTGCAGGAAGTGTCACCAGCTACAGAGTCTTGACGTCCAGATTTTAAAAACTCAAATTGTGGCTGGAGCCATTGTGGTCCATCCGCAAGGCCTTAGGTTTGGAGAAAGGGTTATACTACAGATTGGGCAGATAGGAAATGAGTGACCACCAGACAACCAGTTAGACATTGCAGGATCCCCCTGAGGTTCCACACGAGAATCCGCTTTCCTCACCTGGATATTGGTGAGGGTGATGGGTCCTCTGAGGAATGCAGCAAGCACCAGGCCTGTGGTAGACCATCAATATGCCAACTGTACAGCAGGAAGCATGGAAGTGCAATAGTATAAGGCAAATCACTAGTTAGGAGATCTAACAGACGTTTCTGCAACCATAGACATAAATCCAGGCTGGTGTGTTGCCTTCCTGGGCCCAGGTCAGGGAGGTCACAGAGTTTCTACAGGACGTTGTTCTCATAGAAAATGATCAAATGTCATGGCACTGGCAAAAATCTTAAGAGATTCAAAAAGGGATGTGACCCTATGGTCAGAGTTTATGGAATTATGTAGAAGATTAACAAGTAAGATCTCAAAAGCAGTATTCTGGATTACTCCCTTTAGCCCATGATAGTGAGTACAGACATAGAGGATAATAGATGAATGCATGGCTGGAAGGATGGTGCTGGAGAGAGGGCTTCACAGTCCTGGTATACTGGGACCGGCTTTGGTGAAAATAACACCTGTACTAGCTAGACAGATTGCACCTGAACCTAGCTGGGGCAGAGTTCCTTTATAGGTCATTTTTGCTAGTCCTGGTGGGGAGGCTCTAAACTAGCTTTGGAGAGATGCTGGAACTAAGGCAGAATATTAGAGAGCAACACACAGTGCACAAAATATTGGGAGACATATAGCACTTGAGCTGTGTAAATTAAGCTGGAGTCTGAAATTAAAACTTTAAAATCAGGTGTATGCCGTATGATTGTTTGGAGTATAGTAAATAAGTGATGAGTTATAGATGCAGATTGGCATATGGAATCACGATATTGTGATGGTAAAAGATCAGGCTGAAGGGACAGCCGGGCTCAGTGTTACATATTCAAGTTGCTGGATGTTTAGGAACTATAGGAAAGGAACAAAAATGATTGGGATGGTAGTAATAGTTAAGGAGAGCCCTGCAGTGCTAGAGGTAGATGATGTCTCAGAGGGTTCAATTTGACTAGAGCTAAAGAACAAGAAGGGTACACCTACATCACTTGATGAAGTCTACAGACCACTAACTAGCCAACAGCATTTAGAGGAATAAATCTGCATAGAATATCACTGTTCTTTTACAGTTGCTGGGTCAAAATATTGATCTCTCTTACACAGCACTGGGGTGCAACGTCACGTGAATTGCAGCAGTTCAAAATGATCATTCACTATCAGCTTGAGGCTAATTCAGGAAGGGCAATAAATACTGGTCTAGTCAGTGCATCTGTGAGAGAATAAATTTGATGAATTGGTATCAATCGTACCCTTTGTATTGTTGACGCGAACGGTGAAAATATAGGACAGTAAAAGATTTGCTCACATAAATGTTCAATCCTTTAAGTGCAAGATCTCTCAAAACTAATATAAATTTTTTTTCTGACTCCTATAATACCTATAAATGATCCTGTCAGCTATTTATTAATCCATCTTGATGCAGTTATTGTATTGGAACTACTGTACAATTAAGATGCAGACCAGCCATGATCTCATTGAATGATGGAACCGCCTTCTCCTGTTCCTTTGTTATTGCTCAACTTCACATCGCTTTAGAAGTTATGGGTATCGCATTCTAATGCCTTGACATTCAATGGCATTACCATCACTGAAACCACCCCCCCAACATACACACACACACACACACACACACACACACACACAACCAGCAACCTGACAGCTAGCATTGAATAGAAACTGAACTGGACCAGACATGCACATATCGTGGCCAGTTACAAATATAAATCAGAAGCTAGGAATTCTGCAGCAATGAGAGAACAGGTCACCACTGCTGAAAGCAAAGCCAAGAAGGCACAAACAAAACACAGAGAATGGAGATGTAATCTAATAGAGGGCAGAGTTCATGTTCTGAAGTTCTTGAATTCAATGTGGAGTCCTGAAGGCTGTAAAATGCCAAAGCAGAAAATGAGATGCTGTTCCTCCAGCTTACATTGAACTTTGCTGGCAAATCGTAGCAAGATGGTTTATTGAAGTGGCAATTTTTTGATGCTCATATAAAACTAAAAGCTGGAAATCTGAATCGAGCAGAAATTGCTGGAGAAACTCAGCAGATCTGGCAGCATCTGCAGAGAGAGAAACAGAGTTAACGTTTAGAGTCCAGTGTAACCCCTCTTCAGAATTTTTTGATGTTGCATTTTTCTGATCTTACAGCATAGGAATTAGGAGTGTGAATAGGCAATTCAGTCCTTTGAGCCCGCTCTGCCATTTAGCACGATTGTGGCTGATCTTATCCTCGGTTCAACTCCACTCTCCTGCCTGCTCTGCATAGCCCTTTATCCTGCTTTTCATCAGAAACATGTCTATTTCTTTCTTGAATCTGGTGATTGATTCTGCCTCCACTGCACTCTGAGGCAGTGAGTTCCACAGATTAACAACACTATAAGAAAAGAAGTTTCTCTTCATCTCAGCTTTGAACTTACCTCCTCTCACGCTATATCTATGCCCTCTTGTTTGAGATTGTTCCACAAGGAGGAACAGCTGTTCAACGTCCACTTTATCAATCCCCTTTAGCTTTTTATGTGCCTCAGTCAGATCCCACCTCATTCTTCTGGACGCCAGCAAGTACAATTCCAAGGTGTTCAACTGTTCCCCCTGCAATTAACCTTGTGAACCTCCACTGAGCAGCCTCCAGTGCCACCATATCCTTCCTCAAGTAAGGACACAAAAACTGGACGCAATATTCCAGATGTGGTCTCACCAATGCCTTATACAATTGTAACAGCACTTGTTTACTTCTTTAATCCAGTTATTTTGCAATAAATGTCAGGATTCCATTCGCCTTTCTTATTAAATGCTGCACTTACATATCCACTTTCTGTGATTCATGCACATAGACGCCCAAATCCCTCTGCACTGACACACTTTGAATCTGCTTTCCATTTAAATAATAATTTGCCCTTTTATTTTTCTGGCCAAAATGGACAACCTTGAACATATCCACATTAAACTTCATCTGCCAGACTCTGGCCCATTCTCCTAGCCTATCAATATCCATCTGTAAACTCTTTACCTCCTCATCACTGCCTGCGTTCCTACCAATGTTGGTATCATCCATGAAGTTTGCTCTGTTACAGTCTGTCCCTGATTGCAAATCATTTATATAGATTGTAAATAGTTGAGGTCCAAGAACTGAACCCCCATGGCACCCCACTAGTTACAGTTCACCATCCAGAGAAGGACACATTTGTCCCAACCCTCTGCTTTCCATCAGCCAATCCTCTATCCAAGCCAGTGCTCTACCCTTAACCCCCTGGGATCTAACCTTCTGGATCAGTATTTTATGCAGCACCTTGTCAAATGTTTTCTGGAAGTCTAAATATACCACATCCACTGGATCCCCATTATCTACTTTGCTGATTACATCCTCAAAGAACTCTAGCACCCTTCATGAAAGATGAAAGTGCTGACATTGGTGAATTGAGCTTTGTTTTTCCAATTAGAATTAGATATTATTGTCACATGTGGTCTGACGTCAGTGAGCCTGACATCAGTGATAGGCAAGTTATTGGAGAGTATACTGAGGGACAGGATCAACCAACATTTGGATGGTCCGGGTCTGACTAGGGATAGTCAGCATGGATTTGTGCGCGGGAAGTCATGTCTGACAAATCTTTTAGAATTTTTCGAAAAGGTAATCAAGAGGATAGATGGCCTTTTTAGTAAGGCCTTTTTGACAAGGTCCTGCATGGCAGGCTAGTCACGAAGGTTAGGTCGCATGGGATCCAGGGAGAGCTAGCTAATTGATTCAAAATTGGCTCGATGGTAGGAGGCAGAGGGTGATGGTTGAAGGTTGTTTATTGGACTGGAGGCCTGTGACTAGTGGTGTGCCACAGGTGTCGGTGCTGGATCCTTTGTTATTTGTTATTTACATAAATGATCTGGATGTGAATGTACAAGGCATGATTAGTAAGTTTGCAGATGATACAAAATTAGGAGGTATTGTTGATAGCGAGGAAGGTTATCAAAAGTTACAGATGGACCTTGATCAGATGGGGAAGTTGGCTGAGGACTGGCAAATGCAATTCAATACAGATAAGTGTGAGGTGTTGCACTTTGGTAAATCAAACCAAGGTAGGACTTGTATAGTAAATGATAAGGTCCTGAGGAGTGTTGTGGAACAGAGGGACCTAGGAGTACAAGTACATAGTTTGTTGAAAGCGGCATCACAGGGCTGCCAGAGAAAGTGGTGTGGGCAGGTACAATAGGAACATTTAAAAAAATATTTGGATAGGTATATGGATGGGAAAGGTTTAGAGGGGTATGGACCAAAGGCAGGCAATTGGAACTAGCTGAGTGGGCACCATGGTCAGCATGGACCAATTTGGGCTGAAGGGCCTGTCCCATGCTGTATTACTCCATGACTCTAGTCAAGTACAGGAATACAGGAGTACAGTTAAAAATGAATTCCTGACACCATCTTAGCTGCAAAGGTACCTAGGTACAAAATCTCAAGTACAAAGTAGAAAAACAAGGAAATAAAGTTAAAAATTCAACAATAATGTCTTTCTTAGTATAACATAGGAAAATAAAGAAATAAAGTTAAAAGTTCAATATTACAGTCCTTCTTAAGTGCTTACCTATGCTGAGCTTGCACTCCCCACAAGGCTTGAATCTCCTCCGTACTGGGTCAATCACCTCTGTGTTGGGCTTGATCGCCTCCATGTTTGACTCACTCTCCCTTGCACTCAACGCTGCCACAGATGCCGGAAGACCTCAGGCTGCCTGCTCTCGCAACCGCCACAGATGCTGGGGGACATCTATCATCGCTAGGCTTGATCTCCTGCACTGTGGGCTCAATCTCCTCCACACTGCACTAAAGTCAACTCCCTCCACCGCTGTGGCCGGAAGAAACCTTGCCTCAGACACGCTGGACACCTTGAAGCTGCCGATATAGAAGGTACGCAGATTAAGGCAAGAAAAAAAAAGCTATGAAAGAACAAAATGAAAAGTAAAAGCGAATGGAGTAGGTGAGCTCTGGGCAGGAGCCCACATGCTGCACTGCAACTCCACCACCACCTTGAAAACAGTGTTCAGTTATCTTCCCCCTTTAAATATAGACAAAAAGCAAGCCAGGCAGCAACTGGAGGAAAGGAAAAGTTAACATTTCAGGTATTACCCTTCTTGGGACTGAAGAAGTGCTGTGTTCTTCCAGGCTCCTGTTTGTCTACCTTGGATTCCAGCATTTGCAGTTTTTTTGTCTCGTTTCCTCCTTTAAGATTGGCTCCAGCAACATGCCTACTACGGAGATCAAATTAATTGGTCCATCGTTTCCCACCTTCTACCTAGCTCCTTTGTTAAGTGTGACACATTAGCATGGTCCCAACCCACTGGTACCTTCCAGTTCATTGATATCTTGGCTTCTCTTGGCTGACGGCTTGGTCCGCCCGACTCTGGGGGGCGCTCAAGGCGACACTTCCATTGGTTCCCGACAAACCCGCCTACGCTTGATGTGGATTGGCCACTCCTTTGTAACTCCGCCTTCGCCTGGCGTTGATTGACAGAAGAGTTGACTAATCAGCATACGGCGGGTGCCGGCGGTCTCGGGCGGCAAATGGAGCGGCCGACGCCATTTTATTCCGGTCTTCCCGAGCGGCGCCATGAGGCATTTGTACCGCCACCGCCTGCGGCTTTGTTGCTTCTCAACCGAGGCCGGGATTCCTTTTATAACCCCGGGATTAGGAATGAGGAGAGGCTTGGTGCCGCGTTTTCTCTCTCCCGCCATCCTGGTTTGCCGGGGCCAGAGAGAGGCCTGGCTCAGGGCCGGGCTGCGGCCGGGGGAGACTGGCGGCTGCCCGCTCCCCCCGCGGAGAGCTTCCAACAGGGCGGCCCGGGAGGGCCTGCTCCGACTTTGAACAGGGTGGAGCCCCTGCAAGAATACGGCCAGCAGCCGCAGTGGGATCCGGACCACCGAGACCGCCTGCGGAACTACCCTCCCCAGCCATGGGGCCGTGACCAACCCCCTCACCCCCAGAGTCAGCAACATCGGGACCAACCCCCTCACTCCCAGGGCCAGCATCATCAAGATCGATCCCCTCACCCCCAGGGCCAGCAGCATGGAAATTACTCCCAGGGCCAGCAGCATCAAGATCGATCCCCTCACCCCCAGGGTCAGCAGCATCAAGATCGATCACCTCACCCCCAGGGTCAGCAGCATGGAAATTACTCCCAGGGCCAGCAGCATCAAGATCAACCCCCTCTCCCCCAGGGTCAGCAACATCGAGACTACCGCCCTCACCCCCAGGATCAGCAACATCGAGATGAACCCCCTGACAGCCAGGGTCAGCAACATCAAGATCACTCTCCACACCCACAAGGTCAACAATACCCAATTCACCCAAACAGTCATCAGCACCTAGACTACATGTCTCACTTACAAAAACATGAGCGTGTACCCCGTCCATGGAATCATCCCCCTCAAGGTGAACCTCCCCACCTTCCAGGCTGCCCTTCCGTACCCCAGCATCAAGAGCAGAAGGAACATCTGCCCCACCAGCAGGGTTATGAATGCAAAGATCAAGTTAGTGTCCCACAGGGATTTTCACAACAGGACCGCTCAGCTTATCTTCGGCAGGGATTGTCACATCGTTCCCAGCTTCCATTTCAACCTGAACAAATGGATTCTCAACGCTATCCATTCTGGGAGCATTTAAATCCTGAGAAACATACACCCTTCTCACAGAGAGCTAGAGTTGCCAACAATGTGCTACCTCAAATCCACAGCATGCCTTCCCAGTCTGAGAACATTTCCTGCCAGGACCAATCATTGCTTTGTGGTGGAGGCTTTAATTCATCTATGGCATATGGACCTCAGAATTCTCAGTTAATAAATCCTAGCCATGGCATGCCTAATCAGCAGAACTTTCCAAATTCATCAGGGGAGATACTGTCTTGGAAAAACGACCGTGACATCCCGTATAGCAATGAAAACATGGTAGCACCATGGCCCAGTGTTGCTAACTTTTCACAAAACCTTAAAGATGTCAATGCTGAACAACTGCACAGGAATGACTCCACGACCAGAAACTTGTTATCAGACCAACTGTCCCATAATTTTAAATATAATGAACCTTTAAAAGAACAAGATGAGTTATGGCTTACCCGATTCTTGTCAAAACGTAGGCTGCAGCCTTGTGAAATTAAAAAGCCCAGATCTTACCCATCAGTTAGTGAAGTAAAAGAATCAGTACTAAGTGCTTGTAAACTTGTAACTGAGCTCACTGCCTTATGCCAGCTATTAAGGTATAATGTTGAAAATGAAGCGGTTTGGACTGAATCCTACCTGAAAGCAGTTGAAATGAGAACTGCTTTACAGGAAAAAATAAAGACATTAAAAGATGACAACTACCTCAGTGCTGTGAAAAGGAAATTGGAAAGAATCAAAAAGAAAAGAAGCAGCATTCAAAGGAAGAAACAAATGCGATGTTTAGAAAAACAAGAGGAAGAGGCAAGGACAGCAGAAAAAGAAGCAAAAATTGATGAATGGAGAATGAAGTGTATTCGAGAAGTTGAAGAGAAAAAGAGGGTACTTAATCATTTCCTTCTAATATTACGTGTAAAAGGGAATAGTGATTTGCACATTGCAACAATTATAAGATCCAGGCAGTAACAAAAATACATTGTTTATTAAAGAAAATAGCAATGGAACAGCAATGGCAGGAGTTTCTGGGAGTAATTCAGGAGACGCAGCAAAAATTCATCCCTAGGAAAAAGAAGCATGGTACAGAGACGATGAGGCAACCATGGCTGACTAAGGAAGTCAGGGATAGCATAAAAGCAAAAGAGAAAGCATATAATGTGGCGAAGGGCAGTAGGAAACCAGAGGACTGGGAAGCTTACAAAGACCAACAGAAGGCAACAAAAAAAGAAATAAGGAGGGAGAAGATTAAATGAGGGTAAGCTAGCCAGTAATATAAATGAAGATTGTAAGAGTTTCTTTAGGTAAATAAAGGGCAAAAGTGGCCATTGGACCACTGGAAAATGACAGTTGAGAGTTAGTAGTGGGGAACAAGGAAAGGCTGAGGAACTGAATAATTACTTCGCGTCAGTCTTCACAGTGGAAGACACGAGTAATCTCCCAAAAATGCAAAAGAGTCCGGGGGCAGAACTGATATGGTGTTCATCACCAAGGAAAAGGTGCTAGTAAAACTGATTGGCCTGAAGGTGGATAAATCACCTGGACCAGATGGACTGAAGGAGATAGCTGAAGAGATAGTGGAAGCGTTAGTGGTGATCTTTCAGGAATTGCTAGAGTCAGGGAGGGTCCCAGAGGACTGGAAAATGGCTAACGTGACACCTCTGTTTAAAAAGGGAGTAAGGTAAAAGATGGAAAATTACAGGCCAATTAGCCTAACCTCAATTGTGGGTAAGATTTTGGAGTCCATTGTAAAGGATGAGATTTCTGAATATTTGGAAGTGTATGGTAAAGTAGGGCAAAGTCAGCATGTTTCATCAAGGGGAGGTCATGCCTCACAAATCTGCTAGAATTCTTTGAGGAAGTAACAAGCAGGGTAGACCAAGGAGAGCCAATGGATGTTATCTACCTGGACTTCAAGAAGGCCTTTGATAAGGTGCCACACAGAAGGCTGCTGAGTAAGATAAGGGCCCACGATGTTAGAGGCAAGGTGCTAGCATGGATAGAAGATTGGCTGTCTGGCAGAAAGCAGAGAGTGGGGATAAAGGGGTCTTTCTCATGATTGAATGGCGGAGTAGACTTGATGGGCCCAATGGCCTAATTTCTGCCCCTATGTTTAATAAGTACAAATATATATTTGAGGTGAACCATGTTTGACAATTACTCAGTGCTCTAAATGAATTAAATCTCACTGGTCATGAAGCGTTGGGCAAACTGGCAGCTACTTAGCACACAGATAGAAACTAGAGCTTTAGGTTTGTGTATTGAATACACTGCCACAAAGCTGTCTCGATCAATGGATAAAAGAAATATGGTTGATAAATTTACAGTTGGCTCAGCTTTTGATTCCTTCATATAATATGGATGAACCTTTATACATGTGTTTGTAGTTTGTTCAGTTGTTGTAAACAGGACTACAATCTGGAAAAAATTAATATTTGTTCAGAAAACTGATAAATTTGCACTAAGAGGAAATATACTAGTTTAGCGTCTTTAGTTTGCTATCATATATGTACAGAATGCTGAGTGGGGTTTTGTTATAAGTTATCCAGTAAATTGTTGTGTTGATTTTAATGTGTTTTAAAATTGATCTATCTAAGGAAGGACATCCTGACATTGGATACAGTCTAGAGCAGGTTCACCAGTCTGATACCAGGTATGGTGGGACTGTCTATAAAGAGATGTTCAGTAGGTTGGGCCTGTTACTCATTGGAAATTAGAAGAATGAGAGGTGACCTTATTGAAACATACAAGATTCTTAGAGGACTTGACAGGGCATATGTGGAAAGGATGTTTCACCTTGTGGGATGGATGCAGGACCAGAGAGAATAAGGGGTCGCATATTTGAAACAGGGATGAGGAGGAATTTCTTCTCAGAGTTGTAAACCTGTGGAATTCTTTACCACAGAGGGCTGTTGAGGCTGGGTCATTGAATACATTCAAGGCTGAGGTTATCAAGATTTTTAATCACTATTGGAGTCAAAGGTTATCAGAAAAGAGTGGGAAAGTAGAGTTGAGAATTATCAGTTAAGCTATGATCTCACTGACGGAACAAGTTCGATGGGCTGAATGCCCTACTTCCACTTCTTATGATCTTATGTGTAGTTAAATCATGTATTGCTGAGAGAATGTATGGTTGCTGTAGAAATTCTTTCGAATTATGTTTTATATAGCAAAAAATATATTAAGACTTCTATTGTATCACAGATACAGTAATTTACAGATATTTTTGCCGTAATCGTTTTGTTCATTGTTTCATCAAGATATTCAAATTTTAAACTTATCAGCAATCTAATTAATTGGTGATAATATTATACTGCCTATTGTTACAGTTTTGGGGCAAAATTAATACTCAGAAGAAGGGTTGATAAAGGTAACAGTTTTAACTTAACAATGCTCCTCAAGACTTTTGGTAATTGTTAGTACTCTCTCATTCTCATGTATGCATTTTATTTATAGATGCCACAAGAATGATTGGCGTAGCACATGAACATGTACAAGGGAAATTTAAATAAAAATTTGCTGGGGTAAATTAGCAACTCCAGTGAAATGTTTGCTATTGTTACTGAGAACCAGAGTTCTCAAAAGATTGTCACAAAACTATGACAATCTCACTAAATAAATCAACAGAGAAATGGAATTTGCAATAGATTATTTTGGATTAATTAACAGAAAAGCTATCATAATAATGCTTTACAGAAATAATAGATTTTCCCAGTTGCATCTTGTTTAATGATTCCTTTGCACCTGCAGCTCCTTCAGTATTCTGTTCACGGTAACCAGGTTTATTTTCGGTTTGTAGGAACGTGAACTGAAAGTTGCAGCAGATGGTGTCTTGTCAGAGGTGCGGAAGAAACAGGCAGATGCAAAAAGACTAACGGATATCCTGCGGGCACTGGAGAAACTGCGAAAACTGAGGAAGGAAGCTGCAGCTAGAAAAGGTGTGTTGGTAAGAGGGTGTAATAGATACTGGCATATATTTTCAGGTTTAGTTTAATTATTCCTTTCCATCCTGCAAACGATTGCTAATTGACAAATATCACTGTTGTAGTATGTCAGCTGATGACCTTCTGTTACACCGTGTTAGGACCAGTGAGAAGGGTAAATAGTCTCCCCTCTTTCCAACCACCTTAGTCACAACAATGACTGAAGTAAATTACAGTAGTTAATGAATAGCCAATCATAAGGTTTTCTTGAATTGGAAAAAACAAGTTTATTACCTGCTAACCCAAGAAAAATAATAAAGATGCAGCATCTAGCAAATGACCCTTGTCACTTGGCCCACACATACGAACACGTACAAAATTAATAGGTGATAATGTCCAGTGCAAAGGAAGATAAAAGAATATGTAATCTTCCTTGGTCTTTGAGATGTAAGATTTAACCTGAGATGAATTTGTTGGTTTCTTGGATGTCAGTCAGCAGCATGAGATCTTGAGGGGACTGATAGGTGGATATCAAGAGGATATTTGATCTTGCAGGGGAAAGTAAAACCAGTGGATATTGTTTAAGAATAATTGGTCAACCTTTTAGGGTAGTGATGGGCAGAAAATATTTATCTTATATGGATTTTAGACACACCATCCCTTACCCCCACCCCTCCCAATAGGTCTTCACTGAACTGAATCCACATGAGACTGATCTCATTTAACCCTCCGATTCCTTGCTCTTCTTAGATTGTGGAATCATCCTCCCCAGCAGGTAGCGTAAGCTGTGTCGTTACATTTACTCAAGGCTGATTAAGATTTTTTGTTAGGCAAAGGGGTTGATGCTTATGGGGTAGAGACAACAGAGTGGAGCCAAGACTACAACCATCTCAGCCATGATCTTATTCAATGGTGGAGCAGGCTTGACGAGCCAATGGTCTACTCATGTTCCTGGTACCAAATATTGCAGTTATTTTAAATTTTCAGCTCGTCGACACTCTTTCTTTATGGCCGTTCCTGAGGTAACTGGGCCAGTTTCTTCGGGAGAGTATAGACAGCAGTTTCGTTTCCAGTATAGCTCAACCAGTGCTTGGAACCTCCACTGAAATTATGATTCTACTGTATATTTCCAAGAAATACTTTGTTTTTGCCTGACACAGCCATGGTGATAGTGCATTTGTTAATGTCTTCCTGAGACAGTAATTCAGTGGATGTCTGAAGAATATGAATCTGTCCACACATGTGCGATCTCTCTCTCTCTCACACACACACACCACCTCCATGTGTGTAATTCTTTTGTTCTTTCAGCTCAACCTTGAAGTGGAATTTTAAGCAGTTTGCCTTGTCTCAATTAAATTTCCAATAGTTTCAACCTGTTGAAAATGAAAAAAATTCATCAAAAATATATTGTACAGCCTTGTGACAACTGTCAAGAACTTGACATTTTGTATCAAATTACACAATGTAGACAGCTTTTGGACAGCAATGTTCATAGAACTGTGCAGATTTCCAGTACAGGTGACGATTAATCGGCCTGTCTTGTCTGTGTTGAAAAAACACAATCCAGAATGAACCCTACTTCTCTTCCTATTGTCATTTATATTCCTGTTTCAAATGTTTATCTACTCTTAAAAGATGCAGAGGTCTGCTGCATTTGACTATTCTGCATATCAGTGTTATCACCAAGTACTCTGATTCACACAAGGGTTGCAACACAGACTTACAAATCGTTTTACAGTCGTTTCTGATATAACACGATAGTTCTGTACTCGTTTGATCCCGCATTATTAGAAAATCGTGCAATAGCCATGCCATTTAAACTAATGGGGCCAGGATCGCATTATAGCCAATACAGGTGAGAAAAGTTCACTTTCTACAAATAGTGATCTAAATTCTTCAATTGCATTAAAGCCAATTCGTGTTGAAGAAACACACGCTATAGCAAAATCGACTGTACTGAACCATGATTAAAGATGCATTAATACTGCAAGCTAAGTCAGCAAACCTTTTCTGGTTTTCATATTCAGCCCCAGCTAGCCAATTGCGTGAATTTTTTCTTTCAATTGCTTTCTGCAAATATGATCCCAACTTTTTTGAGAAAATAAATGATATTTACACGAGATAACACTGTGGCGCTGGAGGAACACAGCATAAGAGGAGCAGGCAAGTTGACCTTTCGGGTTGGGACCCTTCTTCAGAAATGGTTGGGGGGGGGAAGAAGGGAGCTCCAAAATAAATAGAGAGAAGAAGGGTGGAGCTGAAGAAGGTAGGTGGGATGGTGATAGGTGAGTGCAGGTAGGGAGTGGTGGGGATTGGTCAGTGAGGTGGGAGGAGCGGAGAGATGGGAGAGAAGATGGACAGGTTGTGTCAGGTCAAGGAGGCGGGGATGAGAGGGAGGGTTGGTCATGGGATGAGGCCAGGGGTGGGGAGGTTTTGAAACTGGTAAAATCCACATCGAGGCCGTCAGGCAGTAGGCTCCCTAGGTCGAATATGAGGTGCTGCTCCTCCAGTTTCTGGGTGGCATCATTGTGACGCTAGAGGACGCCCAGGATGGACATGACGCCCAGGATGGACATGTCACCCAGGGAGTGGGAAGGGGAGTTGATATGGTTTGCGATCGGAAGGTGTCGCAAGCAGAACACAGGTGCTCTACAATGAGTGCTGGTTGCTTTCAAATGCTGGAATGACAAAATGACAGTACACCAGAGAATGCAGCAAGTTTATGCCTATACCTTAGAATATTGCGCACTTGCATGGAACTTTTAACTCAAGTGCGCCTTAAGAGCATGCAGTATGCGTATAAGAAATGACATGTTTAGGCAAGGAGATTTAGCACATAGAAACTCATTCACTACATTAATTTTCTCGTTATGATAGTCATTTGTATTTCGTAGATAATAACAGACCTTATTAATCGTATTTCTTCCAAAGAGCCTTGTGACGTAATCTGTCATGGACTCGTATACTGATACAATCCCTTGACTACCAGATAGCAAGTGTTAACACCACTAATTCATTTTTAAACTATTACTAATATTGCAAACATTTTATTGCATTGTCTTTTTAAAAACTTAATATAAGTTAATTTATATTCCATAAAAGATTGTAGAAAAATTAATTGGAAGCTAATTTCAAAGTTTTTCCATTTTGCAATGAATTACGTACAATCAGAATATTTATTTACACTTAGTGCTCAACCACATTAAGAATCCTACAGTATTCTTTTAAAAAAAAAGGCTTGTGTTGACAGTGCATTTAATTCAAATGATTTTATGCAACGTTTTTTGAGTATGAGTGTTAACCAAACAAATTGACTCAGAATGGAAAAGTCTGATCTCATTTTGCACAAGTCCTAAATTGTAAATAAAAGATACCATGAAATTTTTATAATCCAGCATATGGGAACTTTGACTCAATTGAATAACTATTGTGTTCCGATGGATTTTATCATGGCAGGAGCTGCTTATTTTTTGTCAGTCATTGTAGAAGTATTGCCTTATGCTTCTAATTCCTACTGTGGTAACGTATGGAATAAACTGATAGACATTGTTAAATTCTAACTCCTGCAATTTTATGGTACTGGATTGCACTGTAATATGTTTTAAAATTGGCAATAGTTTGCTAAATAAAGACTCATGCTAATTAGCACAGTTTGCTCAAGATTTTGTACCAGTTCAGTTTGTAACTATATAATTAAATCACGCTGACTATTCAAATGCTGGTTTGCTTTTCCAGGCGTTCAGCCTCCTCCTTCAGCTGATGAAACCTTTGAACATCATATTGAGAGACTGAGAAAGCTGATTAAAAAACGCAGTAATTTATATGATGCAGAAGAAAGAGCCTTGAGAGTTATGCTGGAAGGAGAACAAGAAGAAGAAAGGAAAAGGGAAAATGAGAAAAAGCTGAAAAAAGAAAGGGAAAAACTGGAGAAACAACAACGTGAAGTGGAAATGATGATGTTTGGAGATCCAGGTATTTGTAATACCTAGCTTATCCATTTTAATATAAACAGTACAGTTTTTTTTAGAAAATGTTAGTTTATTAAAGTGAGCAAGTTATGTAATTGGTTCTTGTCGTACTGAGCATCATGCAACTGAAAACCTATGTAAAATTATAGAACATTAACTTGTTTGTTAGATGTTCTTTTACCAGTCCTCTGACAACAGATCATCAACCTGAAACATTAACCTTTTTTCTCTCCACAGATGCTGGGTATTTTCTTTGTTTTCTATTTTTATTCGTTCCCAGCATCCACAGTATTTGTTCTGCAAAGTTATTCAGTATTAGTAATGACTAATTTGAAAAGTTTACTTATGCTTGTTGTGTGTAACTAAAATACCATCCAGGTCACCAATAAAAGGGAAACCTGAATTGATGTAGCAAGTTCATTGATCTCGGGAAATACGAAAGCACGTTTCCAGTTATGTCGTACTTTTGTAGTGTAGTCACTATTGTATGGTGTGATATACATTCTGTGTTAAAATTTCATAAATAATGTCATTCAGAATATTTGAATCTGGAACCACTGTGTAATTGTTACTGTTTTAGCTAATTAACTTAAGAGAACATAGGTAATGAACAATTGGTTTGAGGACTACGAGCTTTTAATAGAATGTAAATCTGCCTGAGCGCTCAATATTTGAATAGTACTGAGTGGTTATTCAGATTTCCATCAATCTGCAGAAGTGCAGTGATTTATTGCAGTTTTGGTTTACAACTCTCATTACTGATATCATTAGTGTTCCTTATAAGAATTTGAATGATTTGGTTTTTTGAGTAATCATCATCTACATTGCTGTCTGTTATCTAAATATATGGGCTGCTGATAATAGTTTACTAAAACCTTTTGTACCCATGAAGTACCCTCATGACCAAAACTATTTTGCTTACTTTCTATTCATCTGTGCTGATTGACATTTAATGTGCTTTGCTAACAGCAGCAGGTATCGGTCACTACAAATGGAATTGTGGTTCCCACTGAACCATGAGAACAGTTTTATTCTTCCTGTCTCTTCTCCTGGGAACATTAGTATGCTGTATCCCTTGAAATGAGGAGTGCTTCATGGCTGTGGATAAATAGTTAAAACTGTTGAAAGATTTATTTTTGGTTACAGTAGCTCAAATATGATGTGTAAAAATATTTGACTAAAGTAATGGGGATTAACACTCAACCATAACCCCTGTTGTTGAATAATCCACCACTTTTGGAAGAGATTTACAAATAATAACATTTTGTTCTGTTGAGTTACATTTATTTCTAAAGTTCCTATTTGTTGGAATGATACTTTAGCAGGAGCTTTCCTTAAAAGAGCTCCAGGTTGCAAGCAGATTAAAATGGTGCAAAAAAGGAGTTTCTGAAAGTTCAGACCTGGGTGGAACACCAAACTGAATTGATCAATGCATTAAAGTATTGCTGTTATGGCACACTACAAATACTAAATGATTTATTAATGTTTTACTTGATTCAATAGATTTGCCTTCAGACCACCCACTACAGCCATTTTGCCAATATTATTTGCAAGCTGAGCATTCTTCACATGCACTCGTGCAAATCAGGTGAGGGTTAATGAATGTTGATATCTGAAGCCTTCAAATGTGTTGATATCATTCAGTTCAATTGTCTCTAAAACAATTATCATATGTTACTGAAACTGTTTCAATGTTTCCACGTAATTCAAATGCATCCCCTTTTCCAAATGTATCTGATAAACCACAGGACTTTCCACATAATAGGATGAATTGAGGAAGAAAATGGTCCTCCTCACCGAGGGCAATAATTTTTACTAGGATTGTATCTTGGAGTTGAAGATAAAGACAGACCTATAATTTTCACATGGAAAGTAATTATTTTTGACTATTAAATAACAATGAAGTCAACGAAACCCACGCAGTTTATAAAAAGAAATTGGTACTTGGAGGCAAACAAGGGTTACCACCCTCTTGCATTTCTCGGATATTTGTGTAGCAGGTCATTTGCCATGAAAAGTTAGTTCTTTTTCAGGTGGATCATTTATAATGCTCCGTAATATTTGCCAGACTGGTTAATTTCCAGACGATTTGTTATGCTTTGATACCTGTTTCTTTCTGCAGGAGGCAATACCACCTCCTTTCTACTCTCTCAAGGAAGGACCAAATAATCTAATTCATAGAATCCCTACAGTGTGAAAGTAGGCCATTTGGCCCATCGAGTCCAAACCGACCCTCCAAAGAGCATCCCACTCAGACCCACCCCCCTACTCTATTCCTGTAACCCTGCATTTCCCATGGCTAATCCATGTAACCTATACATCTCATTAACTGTGGTTGGATGCTCAAAATTGGCTTTACTTTTGTTAAATATACTTCCATTGTTTTTCAGTTCACTTTTTTACACTGCTTGAGGTTAAGCCTCAAGGTTTAGCCCCTATCAAAACCATTGAACTTGGATTACACTTTCTGTTTGAGACCTGTTTTGTAAATAATCCAAGTAGGCAGAACCAATTTACACTCTCAATAAATGCATGCTGGAGCAGTTCTTAAGATAAAGGGGTGTTGATTATAGTAATTGGATTTAATATTTTTCCTTTTCTCCTCTTTAGACAAGAATGGGATCGATATCTTGTGTCAGGTGATCATCCTGATGGAAGCAGTATTCCCCGGGGCTGGGTCTTCCCACACCCACCCACTTCTGACACGTGGGCAACTGCACTCAAACAGAATGAGAGTTGATGCTGTTCAACAATTTTCTCTCTGGCTGAAATATTTTATTGCTGATTAATACCTGCTTTATATTTAATAAAGATTAATTCAAGTTGTTTTAGAGTTCTGTGAGTTTTCTGATAACATCTTAAATTCATAAAATTAGTGGATCGTTTGAGGCTTTGTCAGCAGAAACACAATACAGTGGTTCTGCTATAATACATGTTCCAGCATCTCAAATTGGCTATAATGCGACTGATGAGTAGGGGAACGCTGTTTCTAAAACACGAACCTGTGTTGGCTATAACATGATTCCATCGGTGCACAGAGTATGCATCGACATCATAAGAAAGAAAGCCTTCTCAATTTATGAAGATCTAACAAGAAAATGCTGAAAATCCTGCAGATGTGCCTGCCTTTAATGCTAGCAGTGGCTGGTTTGCTGGTTTTAAGAACTGTTATGCTTTTCATAACATAAAATTATGTGGCGAAGCTGCCAGTGCAGACGAGGAGCAGGCAATGGCATTTCCCCCATATTAAAAAAATTAGTTGACGAGGAAGGCTACCACTTAGATAAAATTTTCAATTTGGATGAGACAGGTTTATACTGGAAGTGAATGTCATCAAAAACCTACATTTCTACGAATAAAACACACGGTGCAGGCTTTAAGGCAGCAAAGGATTGTATGACTGTGCTGCTGGGTGCCAGTGTCAGTGGAGACTTAAAGCTTAAGCCTGTGGTGGTGTACCACTCTGCCAACCCACGAGCTTTGAAAAGTTACCTTAAGTCTACTCTAGGCAACTACTTCATGTCAAGCAAGAGGTTGGATGATGGGGCAAATTTTTTCTGACTTTATTGTTGATGTTTTGGAAAATGTTTTTAGAAAGTAGTACAGAAAAAAAATGTGGTTTTCAAGATTCTCTTCATTCTGTATAATGCACCAAGCCATCCTCCCACCATTGGTGAGCTTTCTGAAAACATCAAAGTGCTATTTCTACACCCCAGACACAACCTGTCTCCTTCAACCCATGGAGCAGGGTGCATTAGCAGCTTTTAAAGCTTATTATTTAAGGGGCACATTTAAGAGGCTGACTGTAGCCAATGAAGGGGATAAGGACAGTCTTCTTCAATTTTGGAAAAGCTCTAACATTAAGAATCCAATTGTCATTGTGGATACCTGGGGTGATGTCAGTAACTGCTTGCATGCAGTTTGGCGGAAGCTTCTCCCAGATTCTTTTCAAGATTTTAAAATCTTTGATCTGTCAGAGGAGTGCCCAAGAATCAAAGAATATTGTGTTGATCTTGCAAAGCAAGTTAGATTTAAGCAAGTGGAGAGTGAGGATGTTGAAGAGCTGCTTGAGTCCCACTGTGAAGACAGTGATCTACAACAGCTTGTCGCTGAGGGGAAAGTGGAAGCTGAAGATGAAGAAAATGAAGTCCAGGATGTAGCACCACAAGAGCTTTCCACCTCTGTTTTGTCTTCTATCCTGAGGGAAGTTGAGAAGCAGTTGCAGCGCTTAGAAGATAATGATTCCAATGCAAAACGCAGCAAGGTAGCAGTTCATGGAATAAGATCTTATTTGGCACCCTATGAACAGGTTCTTCATTAAAGAAGAAAAAGGGCAAAGCAGCAAAAACTGGATGTCTTTTTTTAAGCTAACTACTGAGAAACAGCCAGAAGACAATGAACCACAGCCATCCACTTCTCGATTAACTATTTTTCGCTCTACTCCACAACCACAAATGCACCTGAAGGTGGTAGTGATGATGATGAACATCCTCATCCCCTGCATTAACAACAGAGTAACCTCAAAACCTCCTCCCCATCAAGTCATCTTTACATTTTTTTTAGATAAGGTGTTAAATTTACTTTTATTTCATTTTTAGATATAAATTAAATATTTATGTAAACTGCTATCCTTTATGTTAGGCTTTTGAGTGGTTTTTAACCATTTTTGAGTGATATTTTTTGGTGGTCTGCCCTTAACGCTGCTTTTCCCATAGATTGTGTTATAGCAAAACCCCCTGTACAAAGAAAATTTCCTCATTAGTGATGCTGAGCTATATGTATGGGAATTTATTTCTGGAGTCTATGAAGTTCCATCTAGTGTAGGACTATGCAAGTTTGACTTTGTCACAGAATGATAATGCCCAAGTAAGAGAGCAATAATATATTTAATATATTAAAAGCAGATCTCCAGTGGCATTTTTTATTTGTTCAGTATTTATTGCCCATTCCTAATTGTCATGGACAGTCAAAACCAGTACAGTCTTCAGCTGAAGTGGAGATTAGAGGGCTTGTAGTAATTAGTGTGCTTCTAACAACTATGCATATTCTACTACTAAGGTCAGGTATTATGGATTGGACCAAACCCCCTCAAAATATACCAAGGAGATAGTCTAGACCCTAACTTTTATTTTGTTTGAAGGCAAGTGTAAGGACTGTGTTCCAGATTTGATTCAGTTGGTCAAACTACCAGATTTTAAGCAAAACACTTTATTCTTTACAAAATGCAAACAAAAAAAATTAGCTTAACTTTATACTTAATAAAGTATTATTTAACTAGTAATCATCAACTATTACAATATAGCAGCATCTCATAAACACGCTGCTAGCAAAGGCAAATTCAGTATAACACATTTCTCTCACTTGGTACCTCCAGTCCAGGATAAAGGAATACTGAAAAAAAAATCTAGAAGCTGAGAGAGAATTTGAGGTTTTTTTGCCACAGCAGATATATCTGTCACCTTCAAACTCCAACTGAAAGCAAAATTAAAACTCTGGGTCTGTATGAGCCTGACTCCACCCACTAATGTTTCTTTTGTAATTTAAAAAAAACACTCAGGGAGCTCAAAACTGTTTACCCACTGCTTCTCAAGCAGATGTTTCAGCACCACTACGAACATCTCTCTGCACGAGAAACTGCACAGAACAAATCCCTCAAAGGCACAGTACCTTCACACCAGATATATTTGGAACTTGTTTTAATTATAATTCTGGATGCAGGAAAAGGAAAAGCAGAAAGTACACACAGAGGGAAGTTTTCAGAAATAAGAGCTGAAGATTTGCAATATTTTGAAAGGTGACTAATGTTTCTACCAGAAATACTAATTTCTCTAACATTCTCATTCCTGTGCTTTGACTGTAGTTGGTACTAGTTTGGTAGTTATTGTAGTTGGGTCTGTGAATATACTTCAATCTCAGTTTACGCAAATATCCCATTTTAATGGAGCCTGTTGTTAACTATAGTTAATAATAGCACTTCTGGATTTGTAACATGAATCACACTATCAATCAGGAACTAATGCAATTCTTTGAGGGGTGCAAAAAATTATGTTTTAAATATTCAGACGACTTAAGGAGTTTTCTGAGCTTGCTGTTTCATTTGGTCTTATCCTTGTAGTTTTTTTCAATGTTTTGTCTGTTCTCACAAGGTTACTTATGCTGAGTAGTTAAAAAGGCACTTTTTTAGTACCAAAATTTGAGCCTGCTTCATGTAATGTGAATGTGCTCTGCTGGTTACCTCTCTTCAGCTGCATAATTGAAATCAGCCTTCCTTTGGTCACTGAGAGATAGCAAGAACTGCAAATGCAGATTCTCTCGACAGATGCTGCCAGACCTGCTGAGCTTTTCCAGCAATTTCTATTTTTGACTCCAGTGATATTGGCTTAAAACCTAAGAAGATATCACTTTTCAAAGAACAATGTTGTGTACCATGTGAAATCTAAATAAAGCAGGAAAAAGCAGAAGTGGGGAAAGAAAAGTATTAATCAGTATGTTTGTATTCACTCATAACTTCTGTACCTTCTTATTTCACGTGTTTTCAACATAAGACTGCTGCTCAGATGCAGTACAAAACTGTTTTATGCCCATTCTGTTTTCCCCATCTCAAATTTCACATTCCTGAGGATTAGTATAAAATGCACTACCATTCCACTGAAGCAGTTCAACCCACACTACAGCCATGTTGGTTACTGCAGAAGTAGAGCAGCTGAATGTTATATTAAAAAGAGTATTAAGAATGAGAGATTACAATAGTGAAGATTGGTTACCAAAATTGGGGGTTTTCTCATTGTGCAAGAGAGGCTTAAGACCTCATTAAATGATTTAAAAATTTGGGAAAGCTTCGAGTTTGTGAACAGTGAAGTTAGGTGTAACTGGCTTGAATTGCCTTCTCCCTTGTAAAATATATGATACAGTGCCACTGCATTTAGAGAGAATGAAATGGTTAATTGGTTTTTGTTCTCCATTTAAAGTGACTGAAAATTTTCTGAGATGGTGAGCAAGATTTGAGAGGCAGAATTAGACAAAATTTGGAAAGACAAGAAAGGATTAGAGAGAGAGAGAAAATTTGAAATGACAAATTCGATTCAAATCTTTGGTGCCATAGCGATCATAAATTCAGGCATAGCTGTACAGGGGATAGGAAAATGCTGATACAGGAACACAATAAATCCTGTATTTTCTGAAGAAGAGTCCAGATCCGAAATGTCAGCTTTCCTGCTCCTCTGATGCTGCTTGGCCTGCTGTGTTCATCCAGCTCTACACCTTGTTATCTCAAATCCTGTATTTTGTTTTGGGTCTCGAAAGCTGCAGTAAAACCTGTTAACCTCCAGGTGGCAGTAATTCCAAGGGAGTAACTCAAGAAATATAGATATTTTCCAAAATAGAGCAAAAGGTTTTGATCCATTTTATCCTTAAAATGAAGGCAAATACTTGTAAAATTACCTTTGTTTTAACTTTTGTAACCAGTGAAAATATTTTAACATTGGGTATGTTGCCACAATACTAAGGATGATGCAGACTGGAGCAGCAGGTCAAGATGTGACTGCATTGAGCGACGTAAGATTACAGTAGCATTGAACAATTTCAGGTTAAAGTTAGCTAAGTTACACCATATTTCAGATTGAAGCAACCAGAATTTTGATGCAATTAAAAGTAACAGCAGGAAAATTTGGCCCAGAAGGAGACTATTAAGCCCATTGTGTTTGTACTGGCTGAAAACGTGCCTATTCTTGGTCCACAGCCTTGTAGGTTACAGTTCTCTAAGCAATTTTTAAACGTGGTGATGGTTTCTGCTTCCACCTCCGTTTCAGACAGTGAGTTTCACCGAT